TTGTGTCTTTTTGATTTACGCTTTACTCTGCGGTATTTTCACCGTAAGGTCCGAATGGGTTTTACCGCCACGGTTTTTCTAACGAATCTAGCCTTAATCGTCTAGTTATATGATTTTATTTATAAATGGGTAAATATTATAATAAGATAATGATTATTACGACCATCTATATTCTATATATTTTATTGACACACACAAATGCGGTGATATGCTTCCATAGTTCCGTGTATTATTTTTACATCAAAACCAGCGGTATCGATGCACTGTTATATTATTCTTATATTCTACTAATATGACTTATATGAGACAATTGAAGATGCATCTTCAATTAAAACGACATTAGATAATGAATATTTCAAATTGTATAGATTGTTAATGCGTTTTAAAAGATAAATAAATAAAAATAATTTTCAGTTTGGCGCCCCTCCGTGCTGGCGCTCTGGGCAGTCGCCCAGGTCGCCCATAGCTTTCGCCAGCCCTGTATATATCCCTATTTTATGCTGTTTGTAGAATTAAGTAGAGTAATTTGTAGAGTGTAGACTGCTGTATAGGAAAAAGTATTTGTGCCTTTTTCCTATGTGCAGAATTACAGAAATTAAATGTATTTTTAAACCCGAAGTGTTTCTATTCTTTATTTGAATATTAATTGTCTTTTTATTTCTTTCGCATAATTTACACTTGCCGGATATCTGATTTTTATTAGTGATAATTTCAAAAAAGCCACAAAATTAACTGTGGGATTGTGGATGGGGTGTTGAATCTAGATTCACACTAGTACTATCCTGAACACTCATTTAAATATATAAATTTATAATAAGTACCTATTATAACAAAATATGTATACCTAATTATTTAAATGCTAGCGGCGAAAATACGAAAATCGACATTAGTAATTAGTACCTATACACAATGTAATATAATTTGACAGTATTACATGAATAACAAAGAAATAAATGCGTTATGCGCACAAGATAATAATAAATCCCTAAATACAGACTTTAATCAAATACAGATATTGGTATTATATTCAATGGAGAAAGGTATTTACAACCCTAAATAAATATTGCAGTTTATAAATATACCGTATCGCCCAGTGACTGATGTTATTATTATTTATTTGTGACCACTGCTCGCACATCAACATATTTTGTGCCATACMTATAATTTGGCAGCTAAAAATAATTCCATTAAAGTTGTGTATAATTGCTATTTGTTACAAAACCACTTTATATTCGTGGTATCCAATTATTTATTATCGTTTTCAATAATTCATTATTTTTACAATTCCTGAATATGATCTACGACAAATGCGGTATTACGTTCTTATTATATTATATTTATATTCCTAATAATTTAATTCGATGAGAGGATGAAGGCATAAGTATATATAATAATAAAGTAAATGGTAATACCTTATAATATGGTGATACATATTCAAATCAAATTATTCACTTGTTTAAAAAAAAAAATATAACATTTAGGTAATTAATACATCGAGTATGAAATAATTAAATAACATAAAATCCATTTAATTTATAATAATATTATAGATTGCTGCCACATAGGAGGTTATGTGTAATATTTTGATCCCCAACTAGGGTCTAGGATGGTTTCAACTAGTTCCCTATGGTTATTTAGATCATAGGGATCTATTTGAACGAGGTCCAAATTATGAAAAATATTGAGGATCTAGGTGACTGTTCATCAGCGAGACTGTGTGAGGTGTGACAGTGTGAGTGTGTGACTATGTGACAAATATTATTGCCAGTCAGTGCTGTATCTAGGGAGTGGGGTTTTGGGCTTAACACCCTCCTCCTCATCCGAAATCTCGGGCGAGATACTTTTTTTAATAATGCGTAATGGGTGAGCTAAGATTTAAAATTGTGACAATTTACATTAATAGTATGTGTATTTAAATTATTTCCTATTTTTCCATAGAATTAAATATGAATGTTATAATATGTATCTACTGTATAAATATAAATAAATATGTATCGTGTGGAAGGGTATATCTGGTATATGACTTTATAATAGAAATAGGTATTAATATTATTCTTATGGAATATAATACAATGTATAAACTATAAATAGGTAGGTATATTATGACAGTGACACGGTCGGCGTCGGCCGGTAGATCAGCCACGAGTTCCCGACCCTCTTCCACTACTAATTATTATGATTTGTCTCCCAACATGCATTTGCACGTATAGTTCGATCCGCTATCAGCTAATACGGCAATACCGATTAATGTTTATTTATAACATTCTTATCAATAGACTCCACTCGGTGGCCGGTCGCCGACGCTCGCCTACCGGTCTACCGTAGTACCGCAGTACATTAGAGAAGGAGAACAGACCACGGTGGCACGGCACGGTGTACTGACTAGCGAAGTAGTGAGTACTGAGTAGTGACTACTGAAGTACTGACTAGTGACTGTACTGTATATTACGGTCCGCAGCTGAAGATACGGTGATGTTGATCCTTGATGGCGTATGCTATACAACTGTCAGTCGTACTATAGTATAGTATACTGAATTGTCCGTATTGTTGCTGTATAGAAATCAAATTTATCGTTCAATGCCATAGTGTGCTTTATGTGTTGCCCTACGCACTTTCGCCACCCGTTTTCCACGTGTCCGTATTTCGGACACTGACAAAGTCACAACGATTATGGCCGACACAGACGCCACCGGACGTGGTCGACCACGTGATATTGACCACCGCAGCCGGCCTTATACTGATCGTCGTCGAAGCCGACACAATACCAACCGCCGTGGCCGATACGATGCCGACCGCCACGGCCGACACCATACTGACCGCCGCAGACGAATCGATGCCGACCGCCGCAATCCGTTTGACGTTGACACCGATCGATTTATTAGACAGTCAGATACCGACCGTCACAAACCGTCTTCGAACTTCGACGTCCGCACACGTGAGTATTGAGTTTAACAGACTGCTCATTGGCGAAAGGGGTAAACAAGAATCGGGAAATCGAAATTGTTTATGGGTTAGGTAATAATTAAGTAGTATTTTTGTATTTACCTACTACAACAGTAACTTACTGTCAGTAAGTCAAGATTAAGTCAGTACTTAATGCCTTTATCGAGTTGGAGTGAGTATGTAGAATGTTAGACTTGCCTCTAAAAAATGTCTTAACCCGCCTCTAGCGCTACTCGGTACTCGGTTACTGGAAAAACGACAAATTTCGTTATGGCCGGGTCGATGGGCCAACTTGCGCCGTTTTCATGTTTCAGACTTGTTTTTTCAGAGAATTTATATAATATGTATAGATAATTTTAATTCATGTTTCTTATCTCATCGCACATTTATTTATTATGTTTTAATTGTATTTGTATATTGTTTTCTAATCTCGCAAGAATAAAAAGAAAAGCCCCACCCGCATATTGAATTATATTTTAACGTCTTACAACTCTAAACGTACAACATACTACATAGCACTAACTGTTTAGCGTGCGGAAGAACCGAGAGCGAAGAGAATTGCAACTTACCATAATAGTTACACTCATAAATGCATAACTAGGTATATAAGAAATAACATTTTGTCATGCAACATTGTTAATTATTTTTTCGATACCAAATATATAAAAAAAGTTATTCAAGTTTGAAATAATCGGGGAAATAATGAATTTTTAAACAATAAGAACTTTTTGTATTTGTGATATCGAAAAAATGAAAACTATGTTGCATAACACAGTTTTGTTTCTTAGTTATGACTGTATAATATAGCTTTTTCCCGGGCTTTTTCGGTCCTTTCCCGCGCAAAACAGTTTTGCTATATAGTACGCGTTTGTGACTTGTTAGACGGAGACAACCGGAAACAACCATATACTAATATTAACCATGACTAATATTCTTGTGAAATGTATAAGTCTTGCGCCACCGAGCCAGTAGCTTTACCTTGTTGTTTTAAGTAGATTTCATAGCTGTGCAACACACGTAATAGGTGCATGGTAATTTAGGCGTGCTTTCTTTCCAATGTATCCATGATGTAATGTTACGATTAGAATTTTTAAAAAAAATTAAATTTTTCGTACATAGTCTTTTCAACGTATTTGATTTTATCCCTTATTCTTGTTTTTTGTCTCTTCGTAGTTTAAATTAACGACATTTTGTTTTAACTAATTTTCACATAATATCTGATACACTTTTTGTACCATGACAAAATATAATATGATCTATATTTTCATGCTCTGTACTCGGTGAATCCGTGAAGGTACCCAATTTTTATAAACTTTATTCCGATTTGTTATATACTTTCGTGGTTTGCATTGAGGGCTAAACAAATCTCATCTGAAAACGTGAAAAAACACAAAAACTTATCTTAATGTACATATATATATATATATATTATAATTTAGGTATAACTTATAAGTTTAAACAATGAGAATACGCCATAGCATATTGCATGTGCAGTACCTTACAGTATTATTGTTGTAATGTAGTGTCTTATCCTTACTCGTTAGTTATCGGATTAAAATAGCAGTAAACAGTAAATACTAAATTAATATTTAAATAGTAAATAGTAATACCAGTTCCCATTTTAGAATTGTATACATTTATATCGAGATTTATATACTTATGAATAAATATAGATACCTAATTAATAGGTAGACGGGGAAAATTAATAATACCTAAAACAAATACAATAAAAGGTTAGGTTAGGTTTTTTTTTATAGGAAATGATTTACAAAAAAAGATTCCATTAAATATAATCGATAATAAACAATATAAATAATTAGTGTTGAGTTATTTTTATACATTAATTCGAATGTTGACTTTCTTTGTTTTTCTGTTGATTTGATCTTTGACTACTTCATTTTATTCTACCTATGTCGTATATGTACACAGTTATTATAAATATATTAATTAATATATATGTTATGGTTATATGCATTTATGATTACATGGCTTTTAAAACAACCCACGTATTATACAGAAATAAGAAATTGTCTGATGTATATAATTATTATTACCTTTTTAATTTTATTTCAAAAAAAAAAATGTACTTTAACATAATATTAAAGTATTATTTAAAAAAAATTGTTTATTAAAATGAGCCTATTATTTGTGTTTAATTACTTTAATTATTTATTTATGTATTTAACTAAGTACCAATGATATATATTTTAATGTTTCTATATATATATATTATATATGTTAGCATTAATTTATGAAATTCAGTAATTCTATAAAATAACTAGTTATTCTATATACTAACTAGATATTTTATAAACTAACAATAACGGTTTAGGTAATGTATTTAAAACTATTATTGAATCTATCTATTTCTATACCAYGTGTCCCATGAAATAAGGTACACTTTTTTACTCATTAGTCATTACCCTCTAAATATCTTTCAATTATGTTTGCGTTATGGTATAATTTAAAAATCTTATTAAATTTAAATATTTATTTTTATTTTTATTTAATTTATTTATTGTTCGTATAATTCCTTTTAAACACCGTGATGTAATCAAAATTATTAATATTATTGAGTAATAAATAATTTACTTTTTATAAATTATCATTCCATTTTATTGTTACACATTATGAAATAACATAATGTAAACAAGTATTTTCAGGAAACAAAATTCTAAATTTCTATTTTATTTTTTTTTTAACAATACTATGGATTTGTATTTACAATTTGATTTACATGAATTACAAACATAAACATACAATTCTACACAACAAAGATACTTATCGAATCTAGTCCCGGTCATCTATTTTACGATTTAAATTTCATACATTAGTGAAGTTCCAACTAGTATTGTATGTAATATTAACTGATAAAACTGTGTAGTTAATATATTAACGAGCATAATCAGGAGTTTTATAGAATAACCAAATAGTTATTCTATAAAATAACGTATTTCATATATTACCGCTAACATTTAAATGTTTAGTCAATATTTTAATTATAACTATTTATGCAATCTATGGCACTAATTTTCAGATAATGAACATGTAAATAATGTTAGAGATAAATATACTTCAAGGCCTAACATTATTCAAAAAAGTAGACGCTGCCCACATCGTCAAAGTTATAATCAAAATGTTTCATTCAAACCATACAACTATGGAGATAAAACTATTTGTAAAAACTGGGACAATAAAACCGGCTTAGTTCATAATCAATTAGATGTTGAACTTTCAAAACATAATAGATCATCCAGAAATAATTTTCATCAAAGGTATTTTAGTTTTTTTTTTTAAATATTTAATATACCTAGTACTTATAATAGGTAAGGGAATAACTAAAAATATCATTAAGGGAGGGAGCAAGTTAATTTTTAAATTTTTACTCCTACAATACATTTATATGTTGTTAGCCATGAATGTGGGATTGGAAGTTCTCTTTGGCTACATCCTTTAAAATACCTATTTATAAAAGAAAAACACACATGATTATTAAAATTGAATGTTATATCTTTTTCTGAAAGGAATCATAGCCGTGGTGGTAATAACAGCTTCAAAAACTCTTCTTGCTCTGTAAAAGAAAGCTTAACTGGTTGGTATTCAATAATTGTAAGTTGTGATTTTTAATATATCCATTGTACATAATATGTTTAAATAATAACTGTTATGGTTTTCAAGGTGACAAATGCAGAAGAATTTGATGAAGTATTGAAAAAAATTAAAATTCATATATCACCAGTATTATTTTATCCATACAATGTATCTATGTTATTTAATATTAATTACTTTTTCTTATATTAGTTTTTATATAATACTTATACAATAGTTTAATTCTCAATATATAATTTCATTTTATAGAAACACTATTCTGATAATTCATTAAGATTTCTTGTTGATGACTATAAAGTTGCTATAGCATTGCATAATACTAGCCGTAAGATAACACAAAGAGATGATCGAAAAGTAAGATTAAATTGTTTAGATGTAGAAGTGTGATTGAGTTTTAAAAATATATTTTAACATAAAATATTTGTATTTAGTTGGTTATAAAGGTCTTACCATATATTCCCAAAAGAAGTCTTCTATCATTCACACCAGTATCCAGTGAAGTTAAAGAGAAAATTATGGAGGCAATGGTGATTCGTTACAATTCTAGTACCAGGAGTTTAGATTTGTCACAATTCTATGCTTCTTCATGTATGTAAAAATGTATTTCATTATAAGTTAATTGTTTTAAAAAAAAATTATTTTTATTTTAGTGTTTACCAATAATCAACTATTTGTACCATTAAATCGACCTGCCATTCTTTTAGCAGCACTCAATATGGCTGCTCAATATACCAAGCATGACTTATATTGTTTGAATCTTGCCAAAAATTACATATATTTAGGTGAAGGGCTTACATGGATACGTAGATTGTTCCCTGAACTGAAAGTGTTAGATTTATCTGATAACAAAGTAATGTGTTCTATATTTTTTACTTTTATTGGACCAATATACTAAGATTATTTTTATTGCAGTTGTCTGATTTAAATGAACTAAGGAGTCTATTGGGCTATACAATTGAAGTACTCCATTTATCCAGAAATCCAGTATGCAATTTAATGGACAAAGATTATTACAGACGGTGAGCAAATATAAATAAAGCAACTCTTTTATTTTTAACAATAAACATCCAATTTTGTTTTTAAGCCTATGTTTTAGAAAAGTGAACGATACATACTATTTCAATATTTTTATTTCCTTAAATTCTTTGACCGGTAAAATTATTACCGACTGATTGTGAAAAATTAAGTTATAATATGAAAAAAATAACTTCTTTATAAATGTTCTTTGTCATGTTTATAATCAGTTGTTTATCACATTAACTCAATGTGAACTAAGATAAACTAATGTAATTCCTATTAATAAATCAAATTCAACTTTTCTAATAAAATTATATCTGTTTTATCACTTGTAGATGGCATTTTCTAAATCCAGAACATTTTATTTTAATACTTTAAGCTAATGATAGTATAATAATAATATCCAAAATACTATTCGTCCGACACTTAATTTAAAAGTATGATGACTTACTTCATTGTTTTATGTCTGCTTTAATTAAACTTTATAATACATCATTTATACCAAAGTGATGTCCTAAGACCTAAAGCCTTACTACCTAAAAGTAGAGAGTCAATGGATTATATTAAGAACATTTTACACAGTTTGTTTGGAAAGATTACTATGATAACTTTAAATAAAATAGTGTATCACTGTCTATTATTGTATTAGTGTTTTATTATTGTGGATTAATACTATGTCCCATTTAAATTATGTTTTTTTAATATATATACCATACAAATAATATGTAATTTTTATTATTTCAGGGATATACAAAAATTATTTCCTATGCTAATCGAGTTGGTAAGTTCAAAGTTGATATCATTATATCTTATTATGCTTCTTATAGATAAACAACTATTAGACTAATAGCTTGATATAACTAGCCTTACAATATTATGACAGTTTTTATCATATAAGAATAATATGATGAAGGTAAACACATCTTAATTGGTTTAAAATTTAAAATATGATGATCCAAACATGAGCTGTTTTAGTACTTATGTAATATTTGAATATAAGTGACTTAGTCATCTAAAAATAACAATTTGAAGTATCAATAGATTATGTATAAATCTGAAAATACAAGAGATTCCTCTTAAGAAATTAATTCTGCCAAAAATATTTATAAGCACAACTTAATTGTTAAACATTTGACTTTCAGATTTGAACGAAATTAGATATTTTAAGAAAGAAAAACAATTCTAATAAATTATTGTGTAATTAAAAAAAAAAAAAATTAATGTAAACTTAAAACTATTCCAGCTATATTATTGTATTTTATAAACAATGATAATATCAATATTTTTTTTTGTCATTTATTTTAATTTGTTCAATCTGTATAAAATTTTTTAGAATAAGTATAATGGAGGTATACATTAGAGAGCTTGGCTGGCTTGATTGAAGAAATTATTCACTAAAAGTATTTCATGGTATGAGTATTGAGTAGTAGTGGTTTATTGACTAGTTGACTAGTAAGTCATAGCAACAGTTAGACTTTAGACGTGGGATTGTACGGCAAGAAAGRTTTTGGACAAGGGGATTTCAGTGACTTTGTAGTTTAAGGTGGAAGCGTTTGTAAAGAATCTTGGCAAAGTTTTAGACTATCTAAATTAAAATATTGTCGTGGGTACTTTTTATATATAATTTTATACATAAAAAGGAGTTATCTGCTAGAGGCATTTGGTTTGATATGTTTGGGTTCTGTTGATATTTGAGTCTTTGACTGATCTCTTAAAGTTGAATTCAGTAAGACCAGATAGGTTTGAAGAGTAGCTTGTAGATAATCATTTTATTATGTAGTGTGACATATTTARACGAAATGAAGAGGCGAAGCTGTCTTTGATGATTGTTGAGGGCTAGTAATTTTTTGTCTATGTGAGATAGCGATCTAAATATAAACCTAGGTAACAAACATTTGGGAAGTTGGGAAAAGTTGGTTATTGAGTGATAGGGAGCAGCTTATGGTTCTTAGTGTGAATGTGTAGTGGACAGATTTAGATTTCTTGAGTTTGAATCCCTACTCTTTGTACCAGCTGAGAGCATGTTAAGGTGGATTTGGATCCTGTTGAATGACATGGGTCTTGGCGGAGGTCTAGGATAGCTTTATCATTAACAAAGTCACCAATGGTGGTAAGGTTGAAAGTAGGTTGGTCTGATGTGTCTAGGTTAAACAAGAAAGGTATTGCTTCATCTCCTCGCGGTACTTCAGTTCTTAATTATTAATATGTTAGATATGGTTGAACCATTTCATACAAAGAAATATCTATCTTATAGATAGGACTTGTAGATTGAGTAGAAGGTGGGAGTGACTTTATAATTTAAAGAGGAGGACATACCTTGTCAAATGGTTGTGCTATGTATCAAAACATTTACATTCATATTAAGTGTTTGTTTTTTGATACTTTTAACCTATTCACACTAAGCTATGGAAAAGTGTTAATAATTCAAAAATTGATAACAATCATAAATTATTTAAATATAATACAGGGTAATTATTTTATCAAACAACACTGATTATTTAAAAAAGTATTTGCTTTTTTCAAAATATTTTTTTGCATAGTTTTAAGTTGTTAAAAAACCAATGCTTTTTTATCCTCATCATTTTTTAAGTTTTTACTTTTTTTAATGACAACATAGTTTTTTAATTTCATATTCCAAAGCAGAATATTTTTCTAAGTATTTTGATTCATAAAAATTGAATTTAGGACGAGTAGTTGATAAGTATTTTAAGTTTAGACAAGCGGAATAGTGGACAAACATTTTGCGGGGTAACCCCGTTACACTCCACTCTGCGAATCTAAACTTTAAATACCTATAACTCTTAAACTACTAGCGCTAAATTCAATTTTTATGAACCAAAATACTTAGAAAAATATTCTGCCTTGGAATACGAAATTAAAACTATGTTGCCATTCAAAAAAGTAAAAAACTTAAAAAATGATTAGAATAAAAAGCATTTTAAATCATAATTTTTTAATAAAAATGTTGATTTTTAACAACTTGAAACCATGTAAAAAAATATTTTGAAAAAAGTAAATACTTTTTTTAAATAATGAGTGTTGTTTGATAAAAGAATCACCCTGTATACTATTATAATAACAAAATATTAATAATATAATAAATTCAATGTTTTAGTTAAAAATTAACCAGTAAAATAAATAGCTTTTATAGCAAAATCAAAAATAAAAAGAGGTATAAGTAGGTAATTCTACTATTAGTCACAGCAATCAGTGTGATATATTAAAATTTTATGATGTAAATCATTGCATATAAGAAAAACAATTCCGGTAGAAGATTGTCTAACACCTATACTACCAAGTAAATTTTACGATATTTTTATACTTATATTATTGTAATTTATTTTACTACAATAATACAATATGTTTAAATAATTTTAAATAATTTTAAATAATTTTTACCTTCAACACTGTAATATTTTATTATTAATATTCAAATTTTTATAAGTTATAACATAACAGTATATTATATTAAGAGGACGCTACCCACATATTTGTTGTCTCTGTCTTACAAGTTTGTAACATAGCAAATTTAAGCTTAGCAGATGTTATGAAATTCGACGGTAAGAACTTTAACTATGTTTGTATGTGAGTTTTTTACGATAACTTTGTTAAAAGTAATTTATGCTTTTTTTCTATACACATAACTTTTACAAAATTGAACTATCGTAAAATACCCACATCAGACACAGACAATGTTCTTAACATCAAGTTTCATAATAGGTCGATTCACTCTATTTTTAAACTAACAGAGCTAAACATTATCTGCGGAGCGTAAATTTGCAATGTTATGCACTTGTAAGACAGAGACAACTAATGGGTGTGTAGTGTCCTCTTAATATCATATATGTATTATTTTTATTGACTTAAGAGTCCATAAAAACTGACCATAGATGGGTGTGAATAGGTTTTATGTTTTAAATAGGCAATAAAATAATAAATCTAGATCTTTTATTTAAGTTATTTTGAGAATAAAATATGATAACATGAATATCTTTCTCATACATATAATCCAATTTTGTTTATTCTAACAATTCATTGTATCCAATATAATTTTGTATTTGTGTGCGTCTTAAAAAAACCAAATGATTATGAATGACACATTTGTTATAAATTTAGTTTATATATCAGCATTTGGATACCTGTAAAGATTTAAATAGTAAGCCAGTCTAAGGTATAAACTGATTTCTTTATTTTATTTGTTGATTACTATTTTATAGTACCTATCTTTCTTAAAAATTTTCTTTGATATCTTAAAAAAAATATTTCTATTTAGTTTGAATTTAAACTTGACATATACTATTATAAAGAAATAACTAATTTGTAAAAAAATAACCCTGGTTGTCAAATGAATAATATTATCTTTTTTTAGGATAATTTACATTTGCCTCCTTTGTCCGTTGTTAGTAAGTTGAAAATGCTAATCAACCTGGGAAATAGTTACCCAATACTTCAGTATGACTGCAACTTAATACAATCAAATCCATTGATGACTTTAGTAGAATTATTCCTAAAAAAATACTATGAACAGTATGATCATAAATTATCCAGACAAACGGTATTAGAAGCCTATCATGAAAATGCCACGTTTTCATTATCCAGTTGTTTACTAAAAAAATAGTATGTATTTTAAAAACTTATTACATGAAATCTTCAGAAATTTTATATTTTAATTATGTATATCATAATGAATTTTAGTAACCCAGGTAGTCTGGCAGATTACATGCCAAAAAGTCGAAATTTATTGATATCTAACCAAAATAAAAACAGCTTTATATTCAAAGGTAATGCAAATATTATAGGCATTTTAGAAAAATTACCCAAAACAAAACACGACTTTGGCTCGTTCATAATTGATGTACCATTTGCAAGTGTAAGTTTTAAAAGTTTTTGTTTTGATTTAATTTAATTTTAAAACAATTCTTTTTTTCCCCTAAGTCTGCAATGATTCAGGTTGTAGTGAACGGTGTGTTTGCTGAAGAATTTAATGAAAATCACAATTATCAAGTATTTCGATCATTTTGTAGGACATTTTGTTTGGTTCCTGCTGTAAATGGTTGGATTATATTAAGTGACATGATGTTTGTAACATTAGTCACCTCTGAGTTAGCGACAGTAAGTAAATAGTTGTTGGTTTAATTTTTTTGATAAGGTTTTTTGTAAATTTGCATTTTTAGGAATCAACCAAACGGTTCTATATTTTTAAGCCAACAATGACGGATAATACATGTAATAGAAACAGCTTACAAACGACCATAGAGGATACATTGCCTGATGTATTATCAACTTTAGTTTTCAAGACAGCCATACCCAACTGTTCATCATCAATATCTCATTTATTCAAACAACTCTCTCCACCGTCATCACCTAAGAAACCTCAGCATACATTAGATTCTCAATCAAATTTTCAGTCATCTGTTATTCAGAACTCACAATCATCTGACCAGCAACAGAATCACCCTACAACAGCAACAGCTGATATTCTATTAAATTCCCAACAGTTAAATTCATCATGTCCTATATCCAATTCTAAATTACCATTTCCAATACCCAACACAAAACCAATAGAGACAACGTCAACCCAAATGCATTTAAATTCTTCTAGTAATCATATTGAAAATTCTAATAATGAATTGTTAATGATCAAGAGGTTTTCAAAAGAGTCTGGAATGAATGATAAATGGTCAAAAAAGTAAGATGCATGTATCAATATTCATTAATTGGTATATTTTATAATATTGTTAAACTATCTTTTAAAATATATTTTGTTTTAATTGTTCACTTACCTATGAAAATTAGCTAAAATAAATTTTCTTAAATTTAATTTTATAAAAACATTAAGGTATTGTACTATTATTAATTTTTTTCTAAATTTTTTTGTAGGTGTTTAGTTGAAAATAATTGGGATTTTTCCAAAGCTACATTGTGTTATTTAAAACTGAAATCAAATATTCCTTCAGTAGCCTATAAACATTAATTTAAGATTAAATTATTATTATATAATATATTTTATTATTTAAAGTAGATGTTTTAATATATCTGTTAATGCATTAGTTTTATTATTATAATTACTTTTTACGTTTTTAGTATTGTTTACCGGCATATTATAAAGTCTGATATCTGTATCATCTACTTTAAATGTAATGTATTTATAAATGTTATTGATTACTAAGTTAATAACTTATATTAGCTTATATTTAAAGTTTGGATTAAGTTTATATTGAAACCAGATAACTACAATATACCTAAGCATTTATAATATACCTAGGTATTGATTTGAGTTTAATAAAATATAAAATTATCACTTTATTATTCAACTTGTATACAAATTACTAATTAGAGTATAATGTATAAAATATAAGTTATTTGCCAATCATATGCAGGTGTCATTGTCAGCGTAATATTTGTTTTCTCCTCTCAGATGCACGCGCTACATGAACCGTATACACTTAAAATCACGATTTTTGAGTATTGGAGTATAATCATTAATCATTAATCACATTAAAATTCAAGAGAATAATATTTTTAAATGTTTGATTTATTGGTTTTAGATTTTATGTGGTACACTATTTAATTTTGTTTTAGAATTTGAACATAAGAAAACAAAATTTAAATTTAAATGAATAATAAAATGTTTTTAGACAATATTTAGACATATTCATGCCATACACTCAAAAACATGAAAATAATTTCTTGAATGCGTTATTTTGTATATCATTTCGTGCTTGGGTCAAAGAGAGAATACAGACAGTTCGTTGTAGTCATCCTCTCGATAGGACCCCACACCAGCATTTGTTGTATGCATAGACATATTACATATGTTTATGGTTGTCTGTCTTATACAAACATACAACATACCAAATTTGCGTTTAGACCGTTCTGAAGAACTTTAGAACGGATTTGGTGTTGTTAATTTTGATACTATATTTGACTTATCGTCAAACTTTGAGGTAAGAACATTATCTGTGTTATTTTAATTTTTAAGCGAGTCATAGGTATTTTTATATTTTACCTACATAGGAACATACTTGTTGGTCATAACTTGCTATTAAAAAATAAAATATCGTAAAGAACTGATGAGAGAATACTGATAATGTTCTATCTTTTATTTTTGATAATTGGTAAATTCACTGGATACTGGAACATTAAAACTAATAACACAAAATTGGTTCTAAATACTGAACTCAAATTTGGTATGTTGTACGTTTGTAAGACGAAGACAAACACATAAGGATTTGTCGTTCTCTAATCGGTCCGGCTAAATTATTTCCCTCGGTATAGTATTGGCAAAAACATGAGAGGTAAAAAATATGATTTATTTATCATTCGATTTTATGAGTATTATAATGAGCAATTCTACATCTATGGATAATAGAGAACATATTAATTTGTGGCTATTTTAAAAGGAAAGTTAAATATAAATATACATATTAGTAATTGAACTAATGTATAAACATAAGTGAACTAAATAATTACATGATTACAATAACTTAGTACAAAATTATTTAACAACAATAAACATATACAGATTAGAGACTAGAAGTTGAGTTTAACTAATTAGGTCGTGAGGGCGGCCGCGTTTTAGACGTCATTGAAGTGGTGGATGGATATGAAGTTTATAGTGAAGCGAGCTTGTTGAGTTGAATAATGAGCTATGGAAATTTATTTTAAGTGCGTAGGTATGAGGTCTTCAATTATAACAATTTGGTGGTCTTTATATGTTTAATATCATTACGAATGAACCATGGAGCATTTGTAATAATTCTTAACACTTTATTTTGAAAAATTTGGATTTTATTCAAGCGTGTAACCGAACAGTTTTCCCGAATTGGGCACGCATAAGTAATTATCGGTAGTAGTAATTGCTGGTATATTAGTATTGAACATTTTTGTTGAACGACTGATTTTTTGTTTATTATTGGAAATATCATTGATAGACGTTGGTATGCTAGTTATTGTAGTTTTGTTGATAAGTGAGGCTGGATGAGCCTCTTATCGAGAGTAACACCCCGAGGTATTTGACCGACTGTTTCCAAGGTATGGGCACGTTGTCGAATTTTAGTGGCAGTGGAGTAAAGTAATGACGGAGCCTGAAAATAATTGCTGTGCTTTTAGAGGCATTTATTTGAATCTTCCAGTTTTTACACCATGCTGTTAATACAAATACATTTAAGTGGCTCTGTAGGTTACGAGTTAACCCTTCTAAATTACGAGATTCACTATAATCAATGGTTTTATCATCTGCGAAAAGGACAATGTTGGTGCGTGGTGACTGTGGTATGTCAGTTATGTAAATGGTAAATAAGATAGGGTCCAGCTTGGAGCCTTGAGGTACGCCTGCTGTAATAAGTTGGAGGTTGGAGAAGTTATCATTTATTTTWACTGAAAATTGTCTGTTTGAAAGAAAGGGTTTAATGATATAAAATAATTATTTTGGTGTGTTTTATACTTTTTAATTTGAACATAAGACTGTGTCTTGTGTGCCATACTTAGTAGAAAGTCTTTGAGATATCAACAAATACGGCACCAGTATATGACAGTGCTTTTCAAAAGACGTGCTTACAATGGTTGACTTGGGGGGGGGACTGAGTACCTTAATTAATTTTTGGATACGCTAGCGTACCCCTACTTATTTTTTTAAGGGGAACGCATGGGACGGATTGTTATGTAAACTTTTAACTTACCTATTAACTAAAATTAAATACAAAATTGTATTTGAAAATTTGAATTTGAATTTTATTGTATTGATATCTAATTGAACCTAAAGTTACACGGTTACACCTAATAAATTATGATTTATATGTTATGATTCATTGATATTTGATACGTGTTTCTTAATAATTTATTATGCTTCTTAAAAGGGACCATAAATGGTTTGGTAATATGCGCCCGGGGAATAGTATTTTCCATTTGGTGAGTGAGGAAGCCCAACCATGTACGTTTGGTACTCTCAATATTTCACGGGATCTCCGCCTATGTTACTTACTTAACAATAACATAAAAAGTAAGTAAGATAACCTAACCTACTCGTTGAGGTGGCGGTGGCGATTACGGCAAAATAAAGCCGGAGGCTGGACACAATTTTACCGCCACCGCTGCAGTGTGTGACGCGTTGTCGGGTTTATCAAAACACGCGGTTATAAATAGTTAATGCCATCGTCACACGTCTAGTCCTGTTGTTATTTTACATTATTATAGTTTATTTATAGGTTCTTCTATATATATATTTTTTAATAATTTTGGTCTTGCTAGAATTTATAGTGTAGAAGCCCCCGGACCTTATCGTGGTCAGCGATATGCGTTTTACGGCTGGGTGGTTGATAAGCACTTCCGAACATGGAACATAATCTACCTATTATTAATGTTTAGCAGRACTGATACTGCTTCCAGACTCTTTAGACCGGTTATAGGCATTTGTAGTTGTACAAGTTTGTTGCGAACTAATAAAGGCTACTACGCCGCTTATAGCACGACCTTGTGTGACTCGGTCTGCGCGAGATATTTTGTAACTGGGAAATTTAATTTTGTCAGTGTGTGGTAAGTGGGTTTCGGTTATGCAAGCAATATCTATATTGTGATGAATACTAACAAAATATTTCTATTATTAGGTATTTAATCGGTTGGGGTTCCAATTTAATACTAGTGTATTCAGTGGCGTAACAAGATGGGAATGGGCCCCGGGGCAATTAATAAATTAGGCTCTTTAATTCTATATAATAGGAAAAACCTCATTATGCTTACGTKATATTGTTGTTTAAAATATAAATACCTCTATACAACCATTAATGAAAATAATAAACAGATAATAAATTGATATTAAAATTTTATCATTATTAATTTATTAATTCTATCTAATCAAATAAAATAAAATAAAGGCTATCAAATCAAATTTATAATCTTTTACGAGCTTTAATATTAGCAAATTGATCTATCACTTCACTTAAATCCAATTTTGAAGCTGCCTTGTTTTCAACTGCAATCAATGATAAATATTTGAGTCGATCTTGTCCGGTACTATTTCTAAGATAATTTTTGATTATTTTTAGTTTGCTGAAGGATCTTTCAGCTCCTGCTGAAGTTACGGGAATGGTATAAAATAGTAAAATTGCCATGAACACTTCTGTTATATCACGTTCCATCACTCCAAATTTGGTTATTATATCCTTACATAACTGGTAAACATTACACGTCTCAGTTAATTCAGGAAAAGTTGGATGGTAAACATTGAGAAACTGGAGCGAAAAATTTGGTCCTATTACAACCTTTTTTTCAATTTTATTTCAATTATTTTACGGATGTATTTTAAAACTTACCAAGTGCTCTGAGGGCCCCTAAGCTCTAGGGGCCCCAAGGCACTGCCCTGCTTTGCCCGATGATAGCTACGCCACTGAGTGTATTGCGGTTGGACATTTGAGGCTATTTATGATGATTGATAGACTTTCAATTCTGCATTAATTGTATTACAAACACAGATCTATAAAAATTGCGTGGTGTTGTGGGCATGTGGCACAGGCAGAGACGGCGGTTAATGACCTTTCGCGACGGCTGCTGATAACTAACTGAAATTTATTGTATAAAACGAAAATATTAAAAAGCACAAAAATGTGTAGCGATCTGCGACTAAGGGCCAGTTGTACCGTCTCTGATTAAAGTTAACCGGAGTTTAATCGGCCGAATTTGCACGGTTAAATAATAAATATCTGTTATCAGCTGATTAAGCGTAATCGAAGTTTAACCGTAGACAGTACAACTGGCCCTAATCAATGGACTATACCTATAAATCTATACTATACGTAGAATATAATGACAATGGCGATAGCGCGTAACAGCGTAATTAATAATTACTAATTATGTTAATAATAATAATAAATCACGCGACGTTATAATTATATTCATCATACTCATATGGATATTCATTAAAGTAGGTCGCGCAGGAGTTGTGCGTTTAGCGTAAATCTAACACTACACCATAAAATA